GGAGGAGGAGGAGGAGGGGAAGTAGGGGGAGGAGGATGTGATGATTTCCACTCCACAGTGCTAATCACAGTCTCCAATTTTTAACCGGGCACTCTGAAAATGCGATCGCGATGACGCACGGTCATACTCGTGCTGGAGCGGTCATGCAACCCGAGTCCCCCTGAGTCACCCAATCCTGCCACTGCTCTGTTAGGGCCGCCTCCACTTTTGTGCAGCTGTCTAACGGCATTACGGTTCCAGGAGGCGTCACTTAGAGTGGAACGGTTGACATTCCGTCGGACACCATTATTACGGACGCCTATGCTGTGGAGTAATCGTAACAAATTGATAATGGTGCCTGAAATGACAGTGACCTAGAAGGTATACTTCAGCTACTCAACGTGGCGTTACATCCTAATTCGCAGAAACCCATAACCGCTTGTCTGCGCGGACAGAGATGACCCGATCGTTTTGTCGACGCTGTACTCCACTGCGACTGTTCCTTCGGCAAGGATATGGTATGTAACCCCCCTTGGAGGGGGGGGGGGGGAGTTACATACCCTACCCTTGTCCTTCTCACGACTCCTGCTGGATGGTTCACGTCTAGTAGATGTGGTAACTCAGTGCTTGTATGTTTGGTATCCCCGGAAACAGTGTCTGAACAGCCATGTTTATTTCGCGGATGATTTCCTGATCAGAGATTATAGGCAGCTGTCGTTGTAGGATAACTCAAATATGATACTACTCAAGCTACCACAGCTACTGATGGCGAGGGACGCCCTCTCAAAGCTAGTTTTCAAGGGAATTGCGCGGGTGAATTGTTGAACGATGATTTGAATCTGGCTACATTTCGCGCGAACCCCGCGAAAGAAACGCATGCGTTCATCTTGAAGGCGCTGGCAGACTGCTTCCTCGGACCTCGTCCGCATCTATTGCCTAAGCGTTTTCAAGAAAAATGCGTGTAAATGACCTTCCTTGGCGCGGTCGAGAAGCGCCTAGTTTTGTGGCGGCGGTGGTGGTAGCGACTGAGCCCCTGCCGTGGAGACGGTTTGACGCCAATCGATGTTATGCCCCTCGCTGATTGGTTCCAGGCGGACGAATCCCAAGCGCGCGCACTCACGCACCTCGCGCGTAGTAAAACAACATTGATCATGACTGCCAGCATCTTCTGAACCGCGTGTAGGCTCCTCTGCTGCAGTAGAGGTCCTACTAATTCTGTCTCCCTCTTTCTTTTGATTCGGAAAATTACACTCTTCAGCGACGTCCCAGAGGCTTTTCGGTTTGTTACTGTGAAGTGATTGAACAACTACGTCAGCACATGCTCGCAGCGGTGGCGGTTACGTCTAGGTAACCTTGAAATGGGCGTGATATAGATAATAATCTCTCTCTCCGTCTGGGT